GTCTTCTCCGCCTCTTCCTCCCTAAATAATCTCGTCCATTTTTGTAAATTATCATTTTACACATAGAGAAATTTACACACACGACAGCGGATACCCCATCTTATCCTTATACATGTACAGGGAATTATTTATTTATTTTTTACATAATCGAAGACAACAATCTGTTGTTTCCCAGATATCTCCATATCTTAAATTGCATTAATTAATGATTAGGTGACTCTGTCACAACACTAGCTAATGCTAGCAGGCAGAAACAAACATCAGTGATCCATCGTCCGTTTGATAATCTGAACACAGAAGACGTCCTCCTAAAATGGACCGTGGTCAAAGTTACTATATTCTGCAATGATCCATGATCAAGGAGCTGATGGAGACAATGTTAGCTAACGAGCTAGTGCGCTAGCTTGTGGAAAAGTTCTCTACTTTTCACTTTAAAATACTGTGAGCACAAGGCTAACGTTATTTTAGTAAAAACAATCTCAAATATATATTTAACCATCTCCATATGTACGTCTAAAACTGCAGCTCTGCAACCACGGGACGCCGTAATGGTGTGTTCACACTGAACGTGATCCGAGGGTTTGACGTGGCGAGATTACAAACAAAGTCAGTGCAGAGACACAAGTAGATTTGCGCTTCAATGAAAACAATGAAAAGATATGAAATTGCGTCTACGTGCGAGTCGAAATCTTTTGACTTGAGTGAGAAGTTCGTCTGACATCATGTCACGATGGCCGTGTCAGCGTTGAGATCTAGTTGAGATCTGAGAACTCAGGCCAAAGACGCCGCAATGTCCAGATTGAATGTCTGTCCAACATCCAACCTTAAACTAACTTCAGTTTGGTGGCTGACGGCAGTGACCAGTGCTGCTGCTCTTCCTGTCTGTCCATGAGCTGTGAGTGTCCTCTGTCCCCACTGGGACATTTTCTGTTAGATGTGTTTTTAACTGGGAGAGCATTTCCTGTTTCCTGTGCAGGTGTGATGGAGGTGGACATCCTGGAGTTCAAGGTTCCCGTGGACAACAATAAGACTCTGTTTGTGTGGGACATCCAGCCGTCTCACACTGAGGACCAGATCTACGTAAGTCCACCTGGGGGTCAGGTCTATGTGAGTCCACCTGGGGATCAGGTCTATGTGAGTCTACTTGGGGGTCAGGTCTATGTGGGTCCACCTGGGGGTCAGGTCTATGTGAGTCCACCTGGGGGTCAGGTCTATGTGAGTCCACCTGGGGATCAGGTCTATGTGAGTCCACTTGGGGGTCAGGTCTATGTGAGTCCACCTGGGGATCAGGTCTATATGAGTCTACTTGGGGGTCAGGTCTATGTGAGTCCACCTGGGGGTCAGGTCTATGTGAGTCCACCTGGGGGTCAGGTCTATGTGAGTCCACCTGGGGATCAGGTCTATGTGAGTCCACTTGGGGGTCAGGTCTATGTGAGTCCACCTGGGGATCAGGTCTATATGAGTCTACTTGGGGGTCAGGTCTATGTGAGTCCACCTGGGGGTCAGGTCTATGTGAGTCTACTTGGGGGTCAGGTCTGTGTGAGTCCACCTGGGGATCAGGTCTATGTGAGTCTACTTGGGGGTCAGGTCTATGTGAGTCCACTTGGGGGTCAGGTCTATGTGAGTCCACCTGGGGGTCAGGTCTATGTGAGTCCACCTGGGGATCAGGTCTATGTGAGTCTACTTGGGGGTCAGGTCTATGTGAGTCCACGTGGGGGTCAGGTCTATGTGAGTCCACCTGGGGGTCAGGTCTATGTGAGTCCACTTGGGGGTCAGGTCTATGTGAGTCCACCTGGGGGTCAGGTCTATGTGAGTCCACTTGGGGGTCAGGTCTATGTGAGTCCACCTGGGGGTCAGGTCTATGTGAGTCCACTTGGGGGTCAGGTCTATGTGAGTCCACCTGGGGGTCAGGTCTATGTGAGTCCACTTGGGGGTCAGGTCTATGTGAGTCCACCTGGGGGTCAGGTCTATGTGAGTCCACTTGGGGGTCAGGTCTATGTGAGTCCACCTGGGGGTCAGGTCTATGTGAGTCCACTTGGGGGTCAGGTCTATGTGAGTCCACCTGGGGGTCAGGTCTATGTGAGTCCACTTGGGGGTCAGGTCTATGTGAGTCCACCTGGGGGTCAGGTCTATGTGAGTCCACTTGGGGGTCAGGTCTATGTGAGTCCACCTGGGGGTCAGGTCTATGTGAGTCCACTTGGGGGTCAGGTCTATGTGAGTCCACCTGGGGGTCAGGTCTATGTGAGTCCACTTGGGGGTCAGGTCTATGTGAGTCCACCTGGGGGTCAGGTCTATGTGAGTCCACTTGGGGGTCAGGTCTATGTGAGTCCACCTGGGGGTCAGGTCTATGTGAGTCCACTTGGGGGTCAGGTCTATGTGAGTCCACCTGGGGGTCAGGTCTATGTGAGTCCACTTGGGGGTCAGGTCTATGTGAGTCCACCTGGGGGTCAGGTCTATGTGAGTCCACTTGGGGGTCAGGTCTATGTGAGTCCACCTGGGGGTCAGGTCTATGTGAGTCCACTTGGGGGTCAGGTCTATGTGAGTCCACCTGGGGGTCAGGTCTATGTGAGTCCACTTGGGGGTCAGGTCTATGTGAGTCCACCTGGGGGTCAGGTCTATGTGAGTCCACTTGGGGGTCAGGTCTATGTGAGTCCACCTGGGGGTCAGGTCTATGTGAGTCCACTTGGGGGTCAGGTCTATGTGAGTCCACCTGGGGGTCAGGTCTATGTGAGTCCACTTGGGGGTCAGGTCTATGTGAGTCCACCTGGGGGTCAGGTCTATGTGAGTCCACTTGGGGGTCAGGTCTATGTGAGTCCACCTGGGGGTCAGGTCTATGTGAGTCCACTTGGGGGTCAGGTCTATGTGAGTCCACCTGGGGGTCAGGTCTATGTGAGTCCACTTGGGGGTCAGGTCTATGTGAGTCCACCTGGGGGTCAGGTCTATGTGAGTCCACTTGGGGGTCAGGTCTATGTGAGTCCACCTGGGGGTCAGGTCTATGTGAGTCCACTTGGGGGTCAGGTCTATGTGAGTCCACCTGGGGGTCAGGTCTATGTGAGTCCACTTGGGGGTCAGGTCTATGTGAGTCCACCTGGGGGTCAGGTCTATGTGAGTCCACTTGGGGGTCAGGTCTATGTGAGTCCACCTGGGGGTCAGGTCTATGTGAGTCCACTTGGGGGTCAGGTCTATGTGAGTCCACCTGGGGGTCAGGTCTATGTGAGTCCACTTGGGGGTCAGGTCTATGTGAGTCCACCTGGGGGTCAGGTCTATGTGAGTCCACTTGGGGGTCAGGTCTATGTGAGTCCACCTGGGGGTCAGGTCTATGTGAGTCCACTTGGGGGTCAGGTCTATGTGAGTCCACCTGGGGGTCAGGTCTATGTGAGTCCACTTGGGGGTCAGGTCTATGTGAGTCCACCTGGGGGTCAGGTCTATGTGAGTCCACTTGGGGGTCAGGTCTATGTGAGTCCACCTGGGGGTCAGGTCTATGTGAGTCCACTTGGGGGTCAGGTCTATGTGAGTCCACCTGGGGGTCAGGTCTATGTGAGTCCACTTGGGGGTCAGGTCTATGTGAGTCCACCTGGGGGTCAGGTCTATGTGAGTCCACTTGGGGGTCAGGTCTATGTGAGTCCACCTGGGGGTCAGGTCTATGTGAGTCCACTTGGGGGTCAGGTCTATGTGAGTCCACCTGGGGGTCAGGTCTATGTGAGTCCACTTGGGGGTCAGGTCTATGTGAGTCCACCTGGGGGTCAGGTCTATGTGAGTCCACTTGGGGGTCAGGTCTATGTGAGTCCACCTGGGGGTCAGGTCTATGTGAGTCCACTTGGGGGTCAGGTCTATGTGAGTCCACCTGGGGGTCAGGTCTATGTGAGTCCACTTGGGGGTCAGGTCTATGTGAGTCCACCTGGGGGTCAGGTCTATGTGAGTCCACTTGGGGGTCAGGTCTATGTGAGTCCACCTGGGGGTCAGGTCTATGTGAGTCCACTTGGGGGTCAGGTCTATGTGAGTCCACCTGGGGGTCAGGTCTATGTGAGTCCACTTGGGGGTCAGGTCTATGTGAGTCCACCTGGGGGTCAGGTCTATGTGAGTCCACTTGGGGGTCAGGTCTATGTGAGTCCACCTGGGGGTCAGGTCTATGTGAGTCCACTTGGGGGTCAGGTCTATGTGAGTCCACCTGGGGGTCAGGTCTATGTGAGTCCACTTGGGGGTCAGGTCTATGTGAGTCCACCTGGGGGTCAGGTCTATGTGAGTCCACTTGGGGGTCAGGTCTATGTGAGTCCACCTGGGGGTCAGGTCTATGTGAGTCCACTTGGGGGTCAGGTCTATGTGAGTCCACCTGGGGGTCAGGTCTATGTGAGTCCACTTGGGGGTCAGGTCTATGTGAGTCCACCTGGGGGTCAGGTCTATGTGAGTCCACTTGGGGGTCAGGTCTATGTGAGTCCACCTGGGGGTCAGGTCTATGTGAGTCCACTTGGGGGTCAGGTCTATGTGAGTCCACCTGGGGGTCAGGTCTATGTGAGTCCACTTGGGGGTCAGGTCTATGTGAGTCCACCTGGGGGTCAGGTCTATGTGAGTCCACTTGGGGGTCAGGTCTATGTGAGTCCACCTGGGGGTCAGGTCTATGTGAGTCCACTTGGGGGTCAGGTCTATGTGAGTCCACCTGGGGGTCAGGTCTATGTGAGTCCACTTGGGGGTCAGGTCTATGTGAGTCCACCTGGGGGTCAGGTCTATGTGAGTCCACTTGGGGGTCAGGTCTATGTGAGTCCACCTGGGGGTCAGGTCTATGTGAGTCCACTTGGGGGTCAGGTCTATGTGAGTCCACCTGGGGGTCAGGTCTATGTGAGTCCACTTGGGGGTCAGGTCTATGTGAGTCCACCTGGGGGTCAGGTCTATGTGAGTCCACTTGGGGGTCAGGTCTATGTGAGTCCACCTGGGGGTCAGGTCTATGTGAGTCCACTTGGGGGTCAGGTCTATGTGAGTCCACCTGGGGGTCAGGTCTATGTGAGTCCACTTGGGGGTCAGGTCTATGTGAGTCCACCTGGGGGTCAGGTCTATGTGAGTCCACTTGGGGGTCAGGTCTATGTGAGTCCACCTGGGGGTCAGGTCTATGTGAGTCCACTTGGGGGTCAGGTCTATGTGAGTCCACCTGGGGGTCAGGTCTATGTGAGTCCACTTGGGGGTCAGGTCTATGTGAGTCCACCTGGGGGTCAGGTCTATGTGAGTCCACTTGGGGGTCAGGTCTATGTGAGTCCACCTGGGGGTCAGGTCTATGTGAGTCCACTTGGGGGTCAGGTCTATGTGAGTCCACCTGGGGGTCAGGTCTATGTGAGTCCACTTGGGGGTCAGGTCTATGTGAGTCCACCTGGGGGTCAGGTCTATGTGAGTCCACTTGGGGGTCAGGTCTATGTGAGTCCACCTGGGGGTCAGGTCTATGTGAGTCCACTTGGGGGTCAGGTCTATGTGAGTCCACCTGGGGGTCAGGTCTATGTGAGTCCACTTGGGGGTCAGGTCTATGTGAGTCCACCTGGGGGTCAGGTCTATGTGAGTCCACCTGGGGGTCAGGTCTATGTGAGTCCACTTGGGGGTCAGGTCTATGTGAGTCCACCTGGGGGTCAGGTCTATGTGAGTCCACTTGGGGGTCAGGTCTATGTGAGTCCACCTGGGGATCAGGTCTATGTGAGTCCACCTGGGGATCAGGTCTATGTGAGTCCACCTGGGGGTCAGGTCTATGTGAGTCCACCTCGGGATCGGGTCTATGTGAGTCCACTTGGGGGTCAGGTCTATGTGAGTCTACTTGGGGGTCAGGTCTATGTGAGTCCACCTGGGGATCAGGTCTATGTGAGTCTACTTGGGGGTCAGGTCTATGTGAGTCTACTTGGGGGTCAGGTCTATGTGAGTCCACCTGGGGATCAGGTCTATGTGAGTCTACTTGGGGGTCAGGTCTATGTGAGTCCACCTGGGGGTCAGATCTATGTGAGTCTACCTGGTGTGTGTGTGTGTGTGTGTGTTGTCCTTTAGGAGGGGTTGTACAGCGTGTTTTCGTCCTACGGTCCTCTCTACCTGCTGAAGGTGTGTCCTAACGCTCCGCTCAACCCGCCTGGTTTCTACGCCCTCATCAAGTTCTACTCTGCTGCTCAGGCCTTAAAGGCTCAACGACAGACTGACGGACGCCCGCTGTTCCAGAACTCTCCACTCAAGGTCATCACCTCACACGCTATCATCACCTGCTCTTCTTCTTTTGTGGTTTATAATGAGACTTCATCACATGCTCTTCTTCTTCTGTGGTTTATAATGAGACTTCATCACATGCTCTTCTCAGGTGAGGCTGAGCTCCAAACAGACTCCTCACTTCCTATTGGACAGCAGCAGACCTCTGAGCCACGCCCGCTGCCTTGAACTGGCCAATCACTGCCTGGGATTTAATGGCTGGACCTCTGACATCATCACAGTGAGTCAGTTTACACCTTTACACACAGCTGTAAAGCCCTGTGAGGCAAATTTTGATTTGTGATATTGGGCTTTATAAATAAAATTGATTGATTGATTGAGGTGAAGTGAGACAGCAGGTGACTTCCTGTCTGTGTCTGTCTGGCACAGCTGAAGGAGCTCACCAATGAAGAAGAAGGTGAGGAGGAGGAGGAGGAGGGAGGAGGAGGAGTCAGACGGAGGAGGCTGAGATTTGGCTGTCTGCTGCAGCTGTCCTTCCCTCATCACGGTCAGGTGACCAGAGCAGCAGCCGTGGTGGAGGACAGCTTTACCTGCACAGGTGAGGACAGCTTTACCTGCACAGGTGAGGACAGCTTCACCTGCGCAGGTGAGGACAGCTTCACCTGCGCAGGTGAGGACAGCTTGACCTGCACAGGTGAGGACAGCTTTACTTGCTGCATGTGTACTCTGCAGGATTCACCTCAGCAGATCTCAGGTGATGATGTTTCCAGACAGTCTTTGTTTGGGGGGAAAAAAAAATCCATTAAAACAAATAATAAAAAATAATGACAGTTAGATTTGATTAAATGTAAATCAAAGAGTAAAGCCTGTGTGTGTGTGTGTGTGTCTGCAGGTCCAGATGTTCTGATACAGAAACGATGTCGACTACAGAAGCAGGTCAGAGAGAAGGCTCTGGTCCAGGCCTTCACTGCTGTGCTGCTCATATTACTGGGTATAAATACTCTGATTACTGTTCATATTACTGGGTATAAATACTCTGATTATTGGGTATAAAAACTCTGATTACTGATCCTGGCGTGCACAGTCGGAGCTGTGAGCTGATCTCAGACCTGTGTAAGTGACCCGTCTCTGTGTCTCTGTAGGAAATGGTAAAGTGATGGTGGAGGTGAAACAGACATCAGATCAGTTCCTACCTGAGCAGACTGAAGGAGTCCTCCAGGTAAACTCACCTGTCTTCAGCCGCCTGTGTCCAAGCTCTGATTGGTCAGTTAGAGGTTAAACATCTCATTATTGATATCTGATCAAACTCATTATTAACATCTGATCCAACTCATTATTGATATCTGATCAAACTCATTATTAACATCTGATCCAACTCATTATTGACATCTGATCCAACTCATTATAAACATCTGATCCAACTCATTATTGATATCTGATCAAACTCATTATTAACATCTGATCCAACTCATTATTGACATCTGATC